TTTTTTGTAAAATAAACATGTTTGTTGTCTTTTTGTGTGTGTGTGTGTGTGTATTCACTGTATTGTATTGAACAAAATGGTTGTGCGGCCCGCGCTCGTCATTCTCTCAGTTATGTGGCCCGCTGTGAAAAAAGTTTCGTGTCCCCTGGACTAGAAGGAAGGCAGCTAGTCAACACCACCCTAGGCTCTGCAAAACCGCCCACAACGTATAGCTTTTCACCTTTTGACTTGCACTCCAACTTGGATAACGTTTCTACAAACTTCACGATTAGGAATAAATTCACGGAATTAGCCTCGAAATTCTATAAAAAAAGCACGAAATAGAATCCCCCTCTCAGCACAGTTCCTACAATAGCAGCTACACCCTCGTCATGGCAAAAATATATTTCAGTTTTTAATAAGCAACAGATAGTATATGACCACCTGGTATATTAATATTTATAACTTTACCCTTTACTGCACGTGTTTTTCCTTTTATTTTTGGATAAATACATGTCTGATTTCTGTTGGCTGAGTTGACATTTGATTTACTGATCTTCACCACCCAATTTAGCTTCTGCTCATTCATCGGGATCTTTGAGGGGGGGGGAGTTAGGTACAAGTTTGACATCTTCCTCCTCTGTTTAGCTGATAGTTTGTTCTTTCATTTCTTGAGCTTCCCTCCTTTTCAGGGCCGGACATTGTTCAAAAGTTAGCTTCTTATAATCGTCTTATACATGTACATGGATTATTTTTTGTAGTGATGCAATACTTTATACCACGAATAAGGACGAAGGGGAATTGTCTAGTTTCTGAAACAACGGGTATTATAAACGCAAATTCATACTAAATAAGTAAGTAAACATAATATGTTCTATCGTTGGGCAGGTGCTTGTAGATCATTTCGTAAAAATAATGTGAGATCCAGTCCAAGTAACGACAATAACTTGATTTATTTATTCAATAACGTCTGCAACAAGTTACGTTTATTTTGATGTACGTTCACAAACAAACTTTTCAACATAAACTCTGAAACTTTTCGTAAAAATAATGTGAGATCCAGTCCAAGTAACGACAATAACTTGATTTATTTATTCAATAACGTCTGCAACAAGTTACGTTTATTTTGATGTACGTTCACAAACAAACTTTTCAACATAAACTCTGAAACTACTGCAGACCTAATACGCTAATAACGATTAATAGAAATGTACTATGATAGATTGATTAGAAACCTAACTTACTGATTAACTTTATTTGATCAATCTACTTTCGACCAACAACTACTCGAGTTCTTATGCACTGAATACTTTCCTGAATTCTCGATAAACACTTCAATGACTTCTTACTAAATATTTCACCGATTACTCGAATTCATATTGATGTACCCACGTCTAGATATTAGTCTAAATTACTTGATTTTAACGTCATGCGCTCTCTAAGAAACATCAATATTAAAGCAATGAAAATGTAGCTTACAACAGTATTTTATTTATTTCGTATGTGAAAATTATTCGTCTAAACCAAAATCATCTTACGACATTTTTGAAACCACACACACAGCTTAAAAACACAAAACACTCTTATTTTCTACTTAAAATATCAAATTTGGACTATTATCCATTTTGGCATGATTTTTTTTTTTTGGTTTGGAATTAAGCACAAAGCTACACAATGGGTTGTTTGTGCTCTACCCCCTACGGTTTTCGAAGCCTGATTTCTAGCATTGTAAGTCCGCAGACATACTATTGTGCCACAGGGGGACTTTTGACATGTAAATTTTGATCTAAGAAACTATCTTTAGCAAGAAAAGATTCCCCTCAATTAAATAATATAATAAAGTTGTTGCAGTTAAATCTTTCTAAAAAAAATTGATTAAGTAAATTATCGCTCTCTGCACTTTGGAGCCGTAGGTGCGTTACAAGAGGGTGGTGTTGACTAACTGTATTTCCTCTTGTCTATCACTTCAAAATTAAGGACCGCTAGCGCAGGTAGCCATAAAATAGTTTTGCGTTATATTCAACAATAAAAAAAAAAAAAAAAAAAATTTTTGTTTAAATGGGGTCAGGCGAGAGAAACTTTGTCTCGCGCTGATTCAGTGGTAACATTACGCCTTATAATACTAGAATTCAGGGTGTGATTACTGTGGTTCACCCAGCGCAGATAACATAATGAAGAGCTTTACACTCTAACTAACAGATATTTTCAAAGTATATTAAAAAATCGGTTCGTTTTCTACAATTGTTGGACTTGTAATGTCTAACACCGTTTGTGGATATACTTTTTAATTTAACATTATAATTACTTTTATACAACGTGGGACCTATTAGTACATCTCGGCTGTTCCATTCTCTAAACTAAACAAAAATTATTAATAAATAAACTTTTCAAAAATTCTTAATTCCAACCTTTATCATGCATATACTTATCAAGCTTTCTTTAAGCTCATTTAAATGTACTGCCTCCACAACATTTGAAGGCAACCCATTCCAAAAGCCAACCACCATGTTAGAAAAATAAAAATTTTTTTAGCTGAAGATGACTCCTACCCTGCCGTCGCGAAGTTTTAAAATAACTATTAACAGACCATAAATAAAGTAATGTGGTTTCAGTGATTTGTTTTTAATTTTCCTTTAAAATAAGCTAAGTATATACATATTTATATATTTATTTGGTTGGTTGATTGTCTTGAATGTTATTACAAAGTTATACAACGGTCATATGCGCTATAGCCGTCCCAGATTTAAAACAGATACACTAGGATGAAGGCAGCATCTACCGTTAGGCTCTTAGGCTATTCTCTTTAATCAAATAGTGGTATTTGACCGTCACTCTTTCAACGCACCCATGACCCCAAAGTGCAGAGTTCAGTTTTGTGGAGACGGGATGCGAACCAACCCTCGTGTTCACAATCTAGCACGCTATCCATAGGCCACAGCCGCCTATTTTGAATGACTTACATTTTTAACATTGTTACGATTCATGATATCGAGGAACCCATTTGAAGTTAATATAAAGAAGAGACAGTTGATGGGACTATTGAAAACTTTGATAGGTTGTTTAGGCAGAGTATTCTTAATGAATCTAAGTTTCAAATGGACAGCAACTGCCTGTTGTAGAAACCTACACATGTAGAGGACGACATTTCGAAAGTCTTCCGCCTTTCGTCTTCATTTGAAACTTAGATTCATTATCAAAAACTTACTTAAAGCACAAAACAAGCAACAACGTTTCGGCCTGTTTAGGTTATCACCAGGTTAAGAATGATGATGACCTTCGCAGGACGAAAAGTTGTTATTTGGTTTAAAACTTTCTAATACCACATCAGCCGTCTCTCTCTCTTTCTCTTTATATAAATATATATAGTTACAATATACTCTACTAGAGGACACATAGTCCTCACATGGCGAAAGAGTTATCGTAATTTAGTTCCTTTACTTTTTAAGAGTGCGATAGGCCTAAAGGCATTTTGTTCTGCAGATAATTTTTTAGTTATCATAATTTTAAATGAAAATTAATGAGTCACTGCGATTTATATAACACATAGGTAAGTTTGCTATATCATAAAGGAACTAATACAAGTTGATTGTTTTGGCTTCCCCACTTCACCTATCGACAACTTGGTGTTTGATTACGAATAAAAATTTAAAATCTCAGCATTCATCATTATATTTATACCTTTCCTTTAGTTAACTTTAGAATACTACTTTTATGACTAATTTACAACAGAGTAACATTTTACGATTGGAAATTCTGGTTCTATTTGTTTTGTCAGTGAGAAGGCCAGTAATGTAGTTATTTTATTCTATATGTAAACAGTAAAGTCAAGATAGCTTTGTTAGTTACTCTATCATATATGATCATTAGCTGATCATGTGATATGTTTACTTCCATCCCTATCTTATTGGGTTCCTTTTTTCAAGTTCACTAGACAGCCCTTTAAAGCTTTTTTATTTAGCAATAAATTTTTTTCCGATACTTGTTTTGCTTTTTTAATTTTAATAAGATGGCATATATGGGTTACTAGGTTACAACTTATAAGAGTGTATTGTAGAGCTTTATAAATTTTGCATAGAATGGTAATAAAATAGGTAGTCAAAGATCAAGTGATGATCCAATTGTAGTTACTGCTAGAACTAGGTAGGTGCTAGGCTGTTCAAGAAAGATGATGATAAACAAAAATAACAGATCTTAGTTTTGGTTATTCACTGATTTTTTACTTTGGGATGCTCTGTATAGCTGAAAAGCAGCATATACACTGGAAATGACTATGCTAGATAGCTATCCATATTTAGTTTCTGATGACTTTTAGGCTGTAGAGAAGAAAATTCCGATGTCTTTTATATTGCTTTAATACAGGTGTCCATAGAGAGTACTAGCACACTCTCAGAGTTTGTATCTGTTCTAGATTCAGTTTGTACTGTAGCTTGTGATTGAATTACTTACATAGGCAATGACTATTTATTATTACTTGGAAGCTCATTTATAAATAAGCAGCAGTGTATGTTAAGGTAAAGGTTGAACAAAGTGTATTATGTTAATTATACTAGTATGAAAATATATTAATATAACTAATCTTAATGTGTTGTCATTTTAACAATCAGTGTCAACTTATTATAAGTATTTTTGTTTTTGAAAATGCATATAATACTAAGTTTTACTTCTTTTAGGTAGCTAATAACAATGCTGCGAACATTTGTAAATACATGCATGTTACCGAGCAAGATCAGATCATGTCCCATCTATCAGCAGATAAGGGTAATTTTATCTCTGATTTTTCATTGATATATTTAAAGCCTGTGTGAAAACTAAGAGCTAGAGTAAACTAGCTGAATAAAGTACATGTTTGTTTCTGCTGTTATTATATATATATTTATAACAATAAAACGCTTCAATTGTGTTTAATCTCATATTTTAATGTTTGTTTTTATTCAAAGTTATTGTTGCAAAAATGTATCATTTCTCTGTGTTTAGATTCTGATTTGATTTTCACAATTTAAATATTTCTCTGGATTTGGAAGTGCCTTGTTGCCGTTAAAACTTCTATTATTTATGTACTCTCAGTATGTTTAAAAAATATTGATTTCTTTAACAAGTGATTAATAAATGAAATATGTTTTAGTTTGGTGAGTTGAAGTTGAAAAGTTTTATGCATCTAAAGGAATTATGTCAACTTTAATAAAATGATACCAATTTTGATAAGTACTATAATAATAATAATTGGTTAAGTTTGCAGGTAATATTGAATTAATGATTATTTCAAACTTTACTTAAGATACTTTAGTTTTGGACAAAGAAATGGGTTATTTAGTGTGATGTATTAATACCTGATAGATGTCTTTTAATCTTAATAAAAGTAGGGTTATCACAACATTAATTATTTTTATACCTGTACTATGGGAATTAGGTAAAGTTGATGAGCATAGAAAATTTTGGCATAGCTATTACAAACTATCTAAAGCCTCCTAAACAATGTATGTTAGCTAGTGATATGAAAAACTGGATTTTAGGTTGTAGATACAGAAATATTGAATACAAGTCAAAAAACTCATTGGTTCGCTCTATAAGGTGCTAGTTAGACTTCACTCGGACTACTGTGTGTAGTTTTAACCATGTTATTTAAAAAAGGACATTAATTCATTGGAAAGAGTTCATAGAAGAGCTACCAGGATGATTCCAGGCTAGGTTGTAATCTCTTGACATGTTTTTCCTCGAGAGGACAAGGGATTAAGGAGACACAGTTGAAGTTGTAAAGATTTTAGAGGTTTTGGAATACAGAACCCCCCAAAAAAACCCTTTCATAAAAATAAAAAAGTATGCTGATGGTAAAAGTAGAGAGCACAAGTTTAAGATATGGTTTAAAACATGGATTCACCTCCAGTGAAAGTATTATTAAATGGTGAGTCTGTGGAATAGTCTGCCTTCAGGTGTGATAGAAGCTGCAACATTGAAGGAGTTAAGAGGAGATTAGATAGATGAGTATTTCAGAGGTCAGAGTTGGATATAGGAAAAAAGTTTCTATGTGTAGTCCGTAACAAGTAGATGGGCCAAATTACTCCTTGTTATCCCATGGAAACAAAATCAATTACATAATTGTTATAACTGAACCTTTGAGCTTCAAGATGTTAGTAGATTAGTATATCTACTTTAGTAAAGTGAATTGTTGGATTTTATATTTGTCAAACAAATTGAAAATATTCTTTGAAGTTTAAAACATTTTATTATTATTATTTTACATGAAGTTAATTCACATTAGCGTAACATGGGAGATTAACCAATAGTAAATGGCCTAGTAAAACAGTTTTCTTTATAGCCCCCTATGGTGAAATTGTGTAGTAAATGAAGTGGAAGCTGTTTTTAAAAGAAAAACTGAATTGCAGTTGTCAAGTTAAGGCTCTGTTTTAGAATTGGGAAACATTTCTTATAAAGACCTGAAACTTTAGTACCTGTTTGTTTAGAGTTGCTGCTAAATATTGAAAAAGGTTTAATAACAATGGACAAATAGGTTTCCACATACAGTATTAAAGTTGCAACTAATCCTATTGGAATGGTTAAGATAAATTTTTTATTTTATCAGCTATAATGTAAATTTATCACTCTAACAAAGTTACAGAATTAATATAAAAGATGGGTGAGCACTGAACTAATTCCAGGCAAAGGTACTTAGAGTTAAAAAATTTTTGCTGGCTCTGTAACCCAAGAAAATGTGATAAAAAAAACTTATATTTATCTGTTATCGAGGACTTAATGTTAAGTCAAATTACGTTTCTTTATCTCAGTTTAACAGCTAATCAACTGTATCATATGATATTTCAATAGAAAACGTTAATCTGAAAACTGTTAGAGTGCATTATACTATCCTATTGTCGATGACTAACATTCATATTTTGACACTGAGGAAAGAAAATGTTTAATGTATTGTGTTGTGTTACTCATGTTTTAACTATTGTGAAAACTGTTAGAGTGCATTATACTATCTTTATTGTCGATGACTTAACATTCATATTTTAACACTGAGGAAAGAAAATGTTTAATGTATTGTGTTACTCATGTTTTAACTATTGTGATAATCCGTCTATGTTTTATTAAGATTCTCATACATTAAAACTGAAACCGAATTTTCATACTAAAGAATTGTTTTTAATATCATACAATCCTCTATTTATGTGTGTATTTGTGTATATATTGTACATATCAATCAGAGATATACATGAAGATGGAGAGTTGGTACATGTTGATCGAAGGGATGTACATTAGTGTGTTATAGATAATAGTTTATGTATGTGTTGATCAGAGCAATAACGTAACATAATCTATTTTCATCGAAGGACAATTTGGATATGACTGATAGTGAATAATTGCTGCATATATTTCTAAATTTCATAAAAGAGACTCAACCTTATTTTTATAGAATTATTAAACTATATTTCAAACATGGGAATTAAAGTATATAAAAAGATTAATATTATGTGTTGTAAGTTTTCTTAAACAGTTATAGTGTTATACTCACCAAATATTTTACTAGGAACGTGTTTTTCTCTATTATAGTCATTACTTTTTCACATAAGCTAAGGCATTTTTATCTTATTTAGAATGTGTGCATCAGGATAAATGGAATTAATTTTGTATTTTGAAATAGTGAAAGTCATAAATTTTTAGATATCTTAGTTTTGTAAGTGCTGTTAATATGTACTTTAGTATAGTCTCATCAGAAGCACGTGGGCCTACACTGTGTTTGTTACCTCGATTCCAGTATTTAGGCTTTTATATTTTAACTGCACATAAGTTTTCCTAGGTTTCTTTATTGTTGTGGTTTTAAAAATATCATCAGTACTTCTGTTGTTTGGGTAGATGTATTAAATTAACGTTAAATACATACATTTTTAGGTTATGTTGACTTAGAGCATGTGTACAGTTAAATGATTTGGTATGATATCAGTGCCACTTACTAACATATTTATTTGCACAACATTTTGGACATGATATTGTTATTAGTCTTAAAAGAAAAGACAAAGATCATTCTGCTTTTTGTTTTACGCTTTAATAAGGGTATCATGCCCCCTAAAAAAACATTGTGCAAATAAATGTATTTCTGAGAGGCATTAAAAGGCAGAATGATATTTCTGTTTTCTTTTTAGGATTTAATACACCTGTAGAATGGTATTCCACTCAAAACATTCTAAAAATTAACTTACAAAGTTGTATTAACATTGCATCATATTATTCATTCTGTGCAATTGCCTATGCCTGCCACAGTGCTCTTAAAATACAAATTCATATGTACTTTTATAATTTTCTTCTCTCGGTAGCTTCATGAAATTAACAAGTAATCTCTTGCAATGTATTTGTCATTTCATCCATGAAATTTGTTTTTGAAAATTTTTTTTATTGGCCTTATTGCATTATTTGGTAGATCATTTACATTTGTCTCTTTTACAGTAAAATGTTTTACAATGTGTTTCACTGAATTACTTTTATCTGTATATATTTTGTCTATATGTTCCAGAACACATTTGTTTTGAATCGAAGATATCCCATCATATTTTCGAAGAAAGGGGGCCGCCCAAAACGATTTAAGCAAAAACATTATGTATATGACCTTGTTGAAAATACTGAGTGTAGGAAACAAGGAAACATTAAACTTATCTTGACACAGTTTGTTGAAGGTAAGACAAAGCACCTGTTGAAATCAGGACATTTGTGTATATGTGTGTATGTTTGTTTTTTACCATTTTCATATATTAATATGCATACGATGTGTAGATATACCAACAAAGCATGAAACATACAAGTCAAAACATCTTAGTTTTTTTTAAATCTTATTGATGCCACTGAGAAAATTAATATTAGTCTTAGAGTAGTTATTGAAATATTAGTCTTCTTGTTCCTTTATAATATAGAGGTTATTGTATATATTGTACATGTCGATCAAAGAGACATACATGAAGTTAAAATACACTATTTTTTCTTTTTTTTTAAACCTATTTTATACCCTCCTTTACCTCTTCTTCCAGACTGGCACTGACCTAGAACTCGTTTATGCATTCCATTATCTCCATATTTTTTCAGCCTAACCCATCGTCATCCCCGTTAAAAACTTTCTACTCTTGAAAACTCTCATTCTAATCGATACAGCTTTTTGTCTTCAGTCTCATCAAGCTAACATCTGGGATTTGATTCCCCGTGGTGGACACAGAAGATAGCCCAATATGGCTGTGCTCTAAAAGAAACAAAACTAAAACTCTAAACGAGTGCTTCATGCTTTTGAAGCAACTCCTCTAACTTACAACATCATTTGTTCCTATGTTTGCACTACAAAAGATGAATGATTCTTGGTATTCTCTATTTCCAGTCTATCCACCCAGTATTTATGTATTGAAGTAAAATTAAGCTATTTCACAGTCTACAGATTAACACTAAAATTCTGTGTTAACTAAAACTTACCTACTAGTCCGCAAAGTAAATAAAAGGTAATACTTAAAGTGTCTGAAGTAAAGTGAGCAACAATTAAATAACACTGATTGGTCATTGTTCTTAATACATGAATGACTAAAGCTAACTATTACAGAAAGAAAAAATTCCTGAAATCCATTTAAATTAATTGCCTTAAGGTGTGTGTGGTTGGCTACAACAACGTACTTAATAAAAAGAAAAAACTGTTAAAATATAATGATACATTTAAACATTACAGCTAACTTGCAATTAAGATATCAGTTAGCAAGAGATATTCTTTCATAATCTATAAACAGTACAAACCATTCGTCATCCAGAAATTCTAAAGCAGGTCTTGTACACCGTCACACAAACTAATTGAATCGTAAAGCTTCTTACTGTTGTTCCTTTCCTCTTCCAGTTTCAGTACAACACAAGTTAATAACAAAACAATTGAAATTTCTCTAGTTCTGAAAATTGCGATAAAGCAGTTCTGGCTTCAACACATCCTTTGACAAAGAACCACCTACTTGTATATATCATCAGCACATCTGTTTTCAAGTAGCAGGAGATATATCATCAGCACATGTTTTCATGTAGCATGAGATATATCATCAGCACATGTTTTCATGTAGCATGAGATATATCATCAGCACATGTTTTCATGCAGCTTGAGATATATCATCAGCACATCTGTTTTCAGGTAGCTTCTTTAAAGTTTATGATGAGGGGTTGTTCAACTTTGTTTGGAGTTGAATTGGTTAACATTGTTCAGCAAGTTTTCCTAATGATGCTGGGTTATACTGGTATTAGAAATAACATACAAGTACAGGAACTCGTCTTAAGTTATTTTTCTGTCTGTGTTGACCAGAGAGATATACATTACCTTGTTATTGATACAGCTTTGTGTACATGTTATGTTAATCAGAGATATACATAAACTTGTTATAGATACTTGTCTGTGTACATCTTAAACAGAGAGATATACATTACCTTGTTATTAATACAGCTTTGTGTACATGTTATGTTAATCAGAGATATACATAAACTTATTATAGATACTTGTTTGTGTACATCTTAAACAGAGAGATGTACATTATTTTGTCATTGATACAGCTTTGTGTACATGTTCATCATAGATGTACCTGAACTTGTAAAAGATGGAGGTTTATGTAAATGTTGATCAGAGATATATACATGAATTTGATATTGCTAATAGTTTGTTTAGATGTTGATCAGAGAGGTGTATATGAACTTGTTGTAGGTAGTAGCTTGCGTATACATTGTTCAGAGAGATGTACGTAAACCTTTTTATGTTCTTATGAATAAGAAATTAAAATATTCTTAATTTAAGCTACAGATTAAAAATTAATCTAATCTCAATCTGTTTTCTGTTTATTTCTAATGCTATTAGCTTGATAATCCCAAGATAGGAGTTTAAGAGTTATGGATATCTAGAAACATGAAGCCATTTGACAGTAGGAGAGTTTATTTGATGGAGTTTCATAGATCACGTTATTTAACAATCTGTTGATGTTTATATCACATTGTTCTCTAATCTGTTGCAGACCAGACAGTTCAACAATCTGTTGATGTTTATATCACATTGTTCTCTAATCTGTTGTAGACCACACTGTTCAACAATCTGTTGATGTTTATATCACGGTGTTCTCTAATCTGTTGTAGACCACACTGTTCAACAATCTGTTGATGTTTATATCACATTGTTCTCTAATCTGTTGTAGACCACACTGTTCAACAATCTGTTGATGTTTATATAACATTGTTCTCTAATCTGTTGTAGACCACACTGTTCAACAATCTGTTGATGTTTATATCACATTGTTCTCTAATCTGTTGTAGACCACACTGTTCAACAATCTGTTGATGTTTATATCACATTGTTCTCTAATCTGTTGTAGACCACACTGTTCAACAATCTGTTGATGTTTGTATCACATTGTTCTCTAATCTGTTGTAGACCACACCGTTCAACAATCACTTCTAGATCGCATAGTTCACTAATCTGTTGTATAAAATATTGTTAATTAAACTGCAGTAGATCACAGTCTATTAATATTCTATAGGTCACTCAGCTCACTAATCTTTTGAAGATCACACTGTTAACTAATCTTTTGTAAATCACATTGTTCACTAATCTATTATAATTGCAATGTTTGTCAATATGTTATAGATCACATTGTTCACTAATCTATTATAATTGCAATGTTTGTCAATGTGTTATAGATCACATTGTTCACTGATCTCTTCCAGATCGTATTATTTGCTAAACTCTAGCATTATTTTGAAGAAACTATTGTACTTGCAGTAGTCCATAATCAAAAATGACAGAATGTACGTATGTATAACTCAATGTGTTTTGAAAGAGAATGAAGTTGTTGTAGTAGTAATGTAAGTCAGTAAACGTATTCTTGCAATAACAATCAACCTTAAAAATTTGTAATTACCTAGTATTTTATGTAATCAAACTTATCATGTTCATAATTAAACAGAATAACTGGACTAATGGCTGATTTGTAGTCCACTGCTGAGCCATCCGTCTGATGATACAAATTTCCATTAAGCTTCAAATTCATCTGCATTTGAGTAAAATTGTTTAATATATAAAATTAAACATATTTCTTCCCCTACTGTTTCAGATGCTTTGAAAAATGAATAAATTGTAAGTGTTAAAACTTCATATGGAGAAATTTTTGCATATAATAAATTAATATGAAAACTTACAGAGCCAATGGGTCGGTGAAAATTTTATTATTTAAATAATGACTAAAACTAAATAATAATTATGAACAAAAAAAGGTTCCAAAAATGTTCTATTTCATGACTAAAAATGCTAGAATATTAGTTTAACAGGACAATATTTGTGTCTGTCGTGCAAACCATACATAATACCATAATTTGAACCAACCAGGTGAAGTATCTGTTCAAAACTACCATTAATAGCACCTTCATTGTTTAACTGCAACAGATAACTTTATAATTTTTTGACTTAAATAAATACTGAGTCCAACCTCTATTTTTGAAATTAACTAGTAAGCTTCAAATAAGTAATCTCAAATATTCAAAATACTCTTATGTGCTTTTATTAGTAATCTCAAATATTTAAAATACTCTTATGTGCTTTTATTAGTAATCTCAAATATTTAAAACACTTTTATGTGCTTTGATTAGTAATCTCAAATATTTAAAACACTTTTATGTGCTTTTATTAGTAATCTCAAATATTTAAAATACTCTTATGTGCTTTTATTAGTAACCTCAAATATTCAAAATGCTCTTATGTGCTTTTATTAGTAATCTCAAATATTTAAAATACTCTTATGTGCTTTTATTAGTAATCTCAAATATTTAAAACACTTTTATGTGCTTTGATTAGTAATCTCAAATATTTAAAACACTTTTATGTGCTTTTATTAGTAATCTCAAATATTTAAAATACTCTTATGTGCTTTTATTAGTAATCTCAAATATTCAAAATACTCTTATGTGCTTTTATTAGTAACCTCAAATATTCAAAATGCTCTTATGTGCTTTTATAATAACAATTTGATTAATAACTTAAGTCTTAAAAGCTTGATTTTTATTATTATTTAATTTATTTTGAACTCAATTAAGATTATAGGTTTGGAAGCTTGACAAAAGCGAATCCGGATACTTCTGTAAATCTTAACAAAAACAAACATATTAATCTCAGTAAATTATTTTTATGAATTGGGACAGTTATTTTTCTATATCTGTTATCTTTGTCATCATTCTTTCAGGTTTAGGAGACAGGGGAGAAGTAGTCAGTGTAAAGCCTCTTTATGGACGTCAACAATTGTTGCTGCCTGGCCTAGCAGTATATGCTTCCCCAGAAAATCTGGAATTCTTTTTCTTCTGAGAATGAGGTAAACTAGGTAACTGACTGGTGCAGCGGTAGCAAATCTCTTCTTTGGTTGATTTTGTTTTTTGTAGAAGATTATTGAAAGTAGTTGTGTTTTTTGCATCAAAATTAATACTTTGATAATGTTTTTACATCTTTCAAATCCCATTGCTTGAAAAAAATCACTCTGTGTGCTATTGGGCTGTGAGTGCATTATGTAAATGACAGTTAAATCATGATGTTTGATTAAAGTACCTAATGAGTTGATAGTGGGTGTTGCTAGGTGCTTTCCCTCTGGTCTATTGGTGCAAAGTTTGGGATGAGTAGTGCAGGTAGCCCTTGTGTAGCTTTGTATGAATATCTCAAACAAACAAACTTGTAGAAGTTTATTTAGCAATGCTTGATCTAACATGTTCTTGTTACTGAACTGTTGCCCACACTGTAAAATTACTCACTGTCTCATGTCGAAATCCTGTTCAAAACATTACTTTTAACATTATGAATGTCAAGTTTCACTTTCACCATGCTTTTTTTCTTAATCTTCAGTTGTTTTAGTAAACTTAAATATTTATGTAAGTATCAGTTTAGGGAAAACTATGCTCAGTTAGAGCCAAAGGGAATGTTAGGCCTAACATTTGTAGTATAATTTATATTGAACTGACGTATAAAAATATTTATTGTAACACCAGTGATTTTATTGCTCAATGAAGGTTTGTTACACTATAATATGTAAAGTAGTTATTCACTCTGTTGGACAAGATATAAGTAATAATGTAAGATTACGCACGTTGTTGCCTGATGAAGGCTCCAGTAAGAGGACAGAAAGTTTGCAAATAAAAGTATTTTACACAGAGAGAAAAGTCTGTGTATAATTCTACATATTAATTTACCTATGATATGAGTCTTAAACAACAAAAGATTGAGATTTTAATTGCTTGCAACAAGAATACATATAAAAAAAATATTTGTTTTAAAATTCCAACAAAATATTTTAGCTTTCTGTTACTTGTATTTCATGGTTATATTTTCTAATTTTTAGGGAGGCAAAAAATCAGAAAAACCCACATACAGCTCACATTTTGCAAGCAAGGTAGGTATTGACCATGAGAGGAGACTTTAATCTAAAAATGTAATATCTGACTTTTCAGAGTTGGCATCATGGTAAATTTGTTTTTGTTTTTTCTGTCCAGTTAGAATAGGCTTCCGAAAGATATGTTGATGATACATGTAATAATGATGTGTAGTAGAACTAGGACTTATAATTTTCAGTCCTTATCAATAAACATCGATGGGGACCCCCCCCCCCATACAAAATAAATAAAATCTGTGTACATCCAATGAATGCAGGAAAAACACTGAAAATGGTTATATAATTCACATCAACTTTTCGCCCTTCTTCATTGCAGTTACTTATGCAATGTTCTTCCTTCCTGACTTGTATTTAGCAACAATTTGATCTAAATACTTCAAAGAACACCCCAACTGCTACTGAGGGGTAGCAGAGGTTACACTAATATGGAAGTAATTCGTGTCTGTATGATAACTCACTTAATGCAAACTAAAGTAAGCCCTGTGCAGACAAGAATTTTGGGAAAAGGGTAATCTCAAACATTGTGCAATAATTGAAAGTCTCGTAAAACGAAAACAGGTTATCTACATAAATCTCCAAAGTAGATAGAAATAAACACTGGTAGATTGAAGTAATAAAACCATCAGTTATAACATATTACATCTGTTAATGGTACAGGCTGGTGCAAATGTTACATGTTACCATGGTTATTGTAATTTGTGTTTTATTAACTGTATTATTTTCGTTTGTTACAATAACTGGTTTTGATCTCATTAACCTTGTGGAAGTGATCTGTTGTGACTTTGTATCATGATATCAACTGTGTACATTTTGAGCTACTATAACATAATGACTTAGAAAAATTGTGATGATATATACGATTTTTGCATATTTCTGTATAATTATTAAATTAGAAAGTAGTGTCAGATGGTTTAACAGTTTATATCAGGAAGAAACTTTCACTATTTACTGATATTGCCTATGATACAGTCTCAAAAAAATATTTATTGGAAAGTTTCAAGTATTAATTTTCCTTAAATATGAACTTTAATTACAATTCCATGCAACATCTTGTTTAAATAATGTAAGAATTGCTTAATGATATTGTAACTCTTTAAAACTGTTCATTTTCCTGTATTTACTTTAATACGTAAGTTTTAAGTTAACTGGGCTTCCAAGTGGTGAAGGCAGGGAAGATGAGTTCCAAAATTTGGAAGATCCAGCTTACCAGGAGAGGCAGTGGCACGACAACAACTTTATCAAAAACTTCTTCGTTTATACACGTGTTGTATAAAGTAATTAAAAGTTTGCTTGAAATCAGCCATTGTTTATCGTATTGGTGAATGGTTAGCTATTATCAATAATTGTACAAGTTTGTAAATAACTGTTGTGTTATTAACGTCTCAGGTTTTTGAATTAAAGTGCAGAATACTGGGCTATAGTATGCAAAGAAAGAGTTAATTTTTCACAACATTAGTGTTAGATCTGACCATTATATCTTTGAATTACAACCTTTTACTCCTTGGAGCTGCATAACTTTTGTATATTTCTGAAAACTGGAGAGCAAAAAATAAAAACAATCTTGTATGCAGTAATAATAAGATATTTAAGTTTTGTCTTTTTGAGTGCAGATTTTATAAATATATTTAACTAATAAAACAGCAACAAAGTGTGAAAATTCAAAAACATTAGATATATCGAAGATACTTTTTTTAGAAAGTGAGGAACATACGGAACTTAATACTTCCATATGATACAACTATACAGAGTAAATTTGACAACTGTAATTTTTATCTTTATCCAAGTTACTGTGCAAGAAGATGAAATTTGATCTGTCTCTATAACACTGAAAAAATCTTGTAGGAAATACTTTTTTATTATTTTTATTTCTGTTACACAAATATTTGTAAACAAATTTTGACAAATTTGATTACCAACTTTTTTATGCATGCCCCTTTATAGACAATTGGCTATCTGTCAACTCGTTTAGTGTCAGTGTCGATGAATAGAGAAAATCCTTGGACTTTAGAGCCGTGGCATATCCGTGTGGCCTTTCGGAAAGTTGTAAGTAACTTCCTACATAATTATTTGGTTTTATACAAAAATCATATTTACATAAGAATTTAAAACACTTCTACCATTGTTGTCTTGTAATAGAAGATCTCATTGATTAAACCACAGGTTTCATAAAATATTTTACCAAAATGTGACAAAATTAAAATATGACATGAATACCTTTCTTAATAGTATATATGAAATATGAAATTTTGTATTTATTAAAAAGTATGTAACATAAAATAATGGACTATCATAAAGTTTTGTTGAATACTTGCTGAAAATTTTTGCTGTGATGATAAAATATTAAACAAAACAGTATTTGTATCTAGTAAAATGTTGTTTCAGGATATAAAAATTTAGTATTCTTTAACACTTTTGATGCATAAAACATATCAGGCTGGTTCCTGAACAGTGTCAATTATCATCCAAAAAATGACATTAGGAATTTGATCTTTTCTAATCTTTTGTAAAGCTGTGGGGTAAATCTTCTTGTCGAAGTGGAAGGAAAGGTTTTTGTGATGCCATGTGGTAAATCTACTTGTCACATCAGATGGCTATAAATGTCAAAGTGTTTGTATATCTGCTTGATGCATCGTAAGGGGTTAATAAAATTTGTCAGTCTAGTGTATCTTCTCTTTTCAAAGGTCAAAATCCTGACTGTGTTATAAACCTGAAGCTTGTTTATTGTTTTCTTTTAGGATTTGGGGCAGTTGTATATAATTAGTGAATATGCAATTATTTCCACACCCATCTTTATTCCAATAAGGAAATGTGTGATAGATGATGCTTTTCCATCTTACAATCAGGTTGTTAATGCCCTGATTGGCTTTGAAGCAAAAAACATGTCGATGTCTTCTTTAACACCTT